CCCCCCCCCCCCCCCCCCTCCACCTGCATCCGGCCTTGTCGTCTCCATTCAGTTTCTTTCCGTCCAGTCCTTCCTCCCATCTGGTGCTCTGCAGACGATCGATCTGTCTCTCTGTCCCTCGTCTCGTTTCCATGCAAACACTTCCTTCTCCCACCTTCTCCCCCCACTCTCCTCTTCCGCTGCTCATCTGCGTCTCGTCTCCGTCTGCCACCGCCCGACTTCCCCCAATTCTCTCCTGCTCAAGCACCACGTCAAACTCCTGTAGAGGACCCGACTGTCAACTCCCTTAATCCCCCTTCTACGTACTTGCTTCCATCCCTGGACCTCAGTTTGGGCCATCGTCAAAGCCTAATTACCTCGGACGTCCATCTCACTTCCCGCTACTACCTACCTAATCGACGACAAACACGACGACAAGTGACTCTTTAGCTGGAAGTTGCTTCGACTTTTTGGTCCTGTCTGTTCCGCCTCGCTTCTTCATCCACCACCCAGAAAAAAAAAAAAGTCTCACTACGTGGTTTCCCTGAACACGGACCATCTTCGCTACGTTACAGTACCTTAGCTTGCCCGGCTGGCTTGCAATGGCTTTCTAGATCGACAAACTTTCGATTCCGTCTTTCTCAACTTTGCGTGTTTTGGAAAAAGGACCACGGGCTTCTGGGGGCACTCGGTGTTGTTGTTGTTGTCGTTATTGTTGTAATCGCTCAATAGGTGGCCGAGAGGGGAAAGCCAAGAAATACGAGGTATGTTCCCGTCGCGGAAGCCAAAGTGGAGATTCTGGCTGTGTCGACCTCATCCAAAAGGAAGACCCCAGCAATATCAGACACCACCAAAGCTGGAGAAAATATGCATCAACTCCTCGGGTCGCTAACAAAATCATCACCAGATACTTCACTCTGCCCTTGCTGCATCATCAATGGCACGCCAACGAGCTGCCCGTTTGTGGGCATGTCTTGCCCTAGTGGCCTCGCTTTGCGGAAACGCATTGGCCGTAGGCCCGTCCTATGATGTTGCCTACTGCGCCACCGTCAACACGGCTGACCCTGGCATGGACGCAAGTGAGTAACTAGAGACCTCCCGTCATCGCCATGTTCCCAAGGAGCCTGTACTAACCTCCATTGCAGATGAGAGCGACTACCAGTCCATGGGTTTGTGCTACGGAACCTGTTCTAGTGCCGAGGAGAAGTACGCCTTTGCTGTGGTCTGGCAAAAAAGCTGTTGGTGCACCAACGTTGTGCCGAACTCAGCCAACACCGTATCGTCCGAACAATGCTCAAATCCTTGTCCCGGATATCCTTCAGATTGGTGTGGAGGCGATTCCCTCTACGGATATCTCAAGATCACGGGCATCAAGCCGTCCAGCACGGCGGCGGCGGCGTCGTCAACGTCAACCGGCACCACCACCCAGCAAGCCACCAAGACGACCGCATCCTCAACTAAGCCCACGACTCAACCCACGACTACAGTATGTATCCTCCCCGTTTCTCCTTGCTCAACCCCCAACTTCCACGATGCCCTCAGCGTCCCCGTTCTCGGCGCGTTTTGATATTTTTTCTTGAGTCTACATCATGAAACTCCCCACCCTTGGTCAAACATTTCGCTGTCCAGGCTGTGGTGATCATCAAGACTGAGACTGAGCAGACTGCTGCCATCAAAACTGTCCAGAGCACTGTTCGAGAAACAGTGACTGTGATACCCTCGCTGAAGTCTTCGGTGGCTTCCTCAACTGTGGTTTCTTATCCCACCACCCTTGTTACCTCTGTATGATCCTTTTTGTACCTTTTTTCATTCGTTTTCGTCAGACCATGCATTTAACCGTAGCTTCCTGGGTGCATGCAAGGCTAACATTGTGGATAGGCGACACAAACTACCGATGATCCCGTTACAACAGATCCGATGCAGCCAAGCACCCAAACCGTTACCGTTGGCGGAAAAGTACAAACCGTGATCATCACACCAACCCCAACAGCCACCAGCGCAGGTCAGCTCGCCGAACCGGAAGCCAATGGAAAGAAGAAGGCAATCAGCACGGGTGCAGCAGTCGGAATCGCCATCGGCGTCGTCGCTGCTCTGGGAATTATTGGCGTATTGCTCTGGATCTGGTTCATGAAGCGCAGGAAACAGAACGAAGAGAGCGGTTCTTCATTCGGATCGCCACGCGGAAGCTCTTCGGGATCAAAGAGCGCCACAGTCACCGAAACTCGTTTTGCACCCGAGCTGGTAGCATGGGGGGATGGGCCGGCCTCCAAGAGGAGGAGCACGCTGATGCCAGTCGACCCACGCTTGAATCCATACGGCAGCGCTCTATACAACGGCCAAAACAAGAGCCGCGAGAGTATTACATCATTTCAGGACAACCAGGACTACTCGAGACGAGTTGTCGGTCAGCCGCGGGTACTGAGAGCCGTAAACCCGGATCCAATTGCCGAGGATTGAGAATCAAGCGGACGGTTTCGATAATTACTCACGACGCACACGAACGTTTCCTCGCGATTACATCATTATCCCCCTCATCATCATCCCATCACTTTCATCAACTGTCTTCTGCATTTGCATTGAGATACCACGGTGTTTATTTTTGCGTTTCATCTTTTCCGAAACTGGGTGGTAGGCGGGCTTGGTTTGCTTTTGGGGGCCGGACAGGGGGGAACTAAAAGAGAGGGAAGAGGGATGCTGCTGCTTTTGTCAGAATATTTTGCGTTTCTCGAGGGTTTTCCGGCGCTTTTTTTATCCATGTTAAACCACACTTGCATGCGCACATACAAACAGACGACCAACGCTGCTTATCTACCTGCCTTAATTTTCTTGTACTTTTTTCCATAACAATTTTGGGTTGCTGTTGCGTGTCTTTGATCGAGGTTCCTGCACCAGACGATTCGCCGCGCACCTCGAAGCTGTTCCACCCGTCGACATCGATCACTTGGCTTCGACGGAACGGATTCCAACGCTGACCCAACTCGCTTACACAACGGTTTACCTCAGCTCGGCAATTCGAGACTACGAAAATCTCTTTACGTCACCCCGAATTCAATATTTCACGACTTTCTTCTTTTGGACAAGACGGAAGCACGACCGAACCTTACTTGGAAACAACAATGGCTGAACCATAACCTTGCGTGCGCTTGGATCAGAGTTACGGAAGCGCGGCTTATGCGGCGGTTATGGGATTGAAGCTGTATGTGTGGGAGATTATAGCAAAGCCAGGGTATATGGGCTACAGGTTCCCCAAATTTCTGCCCACGGCTAGAGTTGGAAACCGAATACCTATCTGAATTGAAACCAACAATGGTTTTTGTCTGCCATTGATAGACGGGCCTTTGTGTAAAAGCATCATGTATCCAATTGACGGGGTGTCAAGGTGTCGTTCGTCACTGCGGCTACTGGAGTTGTCCTGCTGTCAAGATTGCCAGTGATCACTTCCTGTTCCTGACGGGCGTTCATCTCATTTTTGCTTGTTGTTCCTGATCTACCCTCGCAGCACATCCGCCTTATTTTGTCTTATCGAACCAGTCAGGGTGTGTACACTACAAAATCTGGCGGGTACCTGGACGGTGATAGTGTGTACACTACATCGTACATGACCGTTCGCACGGGTGAGCTTCGGAATTCCTTGCTGCTGAACCAATCGACCTTGCAATCCACATCAACAACCGAATGGATCTCCATCCACGAAATAAGATAGGGGATGGAGCGCACCGCACGGCTGACTTGGCTCGTTGTTCAGGGTTTGTGAGAAACGGATGGGAAAAAAAAGGAACAAAAGTGGTGGGCAGATTTCTGATCCGATTGGCCTTCTGTTGTGTGGCGAAAAAAAAAACCTGAAACTCGAAACCAAGAATCGGTGGAAGCCGCAGATTTGATTTCAAGCCCGCCGATCTCGAAGCAACCCAGATGCAGGCCCAATGCAGGCACCGCGGAAGCAAACGTGATGCAATGGCTGAAGATCCTCATTTATTAACAGTGGTCGATTGTCTCGGGTTGAGTTGGGCCAACACAACGTGTTGCTGCAAGATTGATAAAGAGCTCAGATTGACGTGAAAATAAGGGACAACGAATGGAAAGACATAGGAGCAATTGAATTATGAAATCAGTTTTGTCAGATAAACTCCGAAAGGTAGATACACGATGTGGAAAACTTCGCAAAAAAAAAAAAAGTCTATGACGCAGTTTGTTATTTGTGCTTTACACATGCGCAATCGACACATGTCATATCCACTTCCCGCGCGTACACATGTCGACGCACATGATGTAGATACTACACATCATTGTACATAAATATATGCAAGGGAAAAGGGGTTTCTCGGATATTTAAAGATCCCATCCATTGGAATGCAAGTCATGGACAAGATGCACGTTGTGCCCTTTCGTTGCTTCTTCTCGCATGCTGTCCACGTGAACCCATCTCGGCATTGCGATGAAAACCGGATGTTGAAGAGGTTGATGCGAAGAATGCCTATCAAGGAGAAAGAAGAAACAACATAAAAATCCGGGAACCTTTGCAACAACGCAGTAGTAGTCTGATGGTAGTGATGCGTTTTATAGTTGAATGTTGAACAATCTCAACCTTTTCCGCCCGAAGACCTCGGAGTGAGTGAGTGAGTGAGTGAGTACCGGCGCCGCGTTGCCGGGATCCTCGGGAGGGAATCATACACTAGAAACCACGAGGAACACTTGCCTGCCTACCTGCCCTGGTAACAACAGCCTGACCAAAAAGGAAAAGCAAGGAAAAGAAAAGAAAGCAAGTCAGGCCATCCATCGAAAAATAGGGGAATGTCAATCTACCTTACCTTATGTACACCTATGGTAATCTCGGACTAGGTCGTAAAATGTTTCAACGATTTTGCTTTTCTTGTTTGTCAAAGTCGCTTCTTCCGCTCGCTCGGTAAATAGGGACTTGACTCAGTAATCAATCAATTAATCAGTCAATCAATTAATCTGGCCTTGTTTGTCCCTTGACAGACCTTCTCTGCTTTTTTGTTGACAATTCAAACTTTGCTTTGTAGTATACCATAGCACATCCATCCATCCATCTCAAAACCAAAACATGTAAAATTGATGTAATTTGAGGAGGAAAAAAGGTTAGTACCAAGTTCCAAGTTCCAAGTTCCTACCTACCTTTCGAATGGCGCGCGGCGGATCTATCCGTAACTTCAGTTGCAATCCTCACTCTCCCCTACCTAGGTACGCATGCATAATGCCAGATACACTAACTAGATGCTCAAGCGTACATAGGTCTGACATTTTGGTCGGCTTAGCATCATCCAATGGCGGTTAAACAACCGCCCGGCTAGCTCAATCGGTAGAGCGTGAGACTCTTAATCTCAAGGTTGTGGGTTCGACCCCCACGTCGGGCTCAATTCCCGATGTTCCTGGTAAAAGGACAACATCATCTTTTTTTGCAAATAATATCTCTTTTGAATTTCATGAAGCGATCTCTTTTTAAGTTCCCTTTCCACTTTTCCTTTTTTTTCTTTTTCTTTGTCTCTTTTAAACCTCGTAAAGTGTGTTCTCCTCATTGGTACTTATAGTCGCAAGGAAGGTAGCGGGTCGGCATCTCGCTTCAGTCTTCATGGTACCATCGTCGTTTATCATTTATTTTCTTGCACAGGAAGTAAGCCGTACCGCCAAGTCATCACCACATTACATAGACTTATTGAGGATGGACGTTCATTAGAAACAGTATTTCTTCCAATTACCTGTGGTACACTGACCAGAATCTATCATCCTTCTCCATAATACTGTACATAACTTTTGTGCAGGCGAGGCGTGCTGGGAGACATATATGTCCCCTCATGAACCAGTCTGTTCACCTACTTCTCCAGCTGGCTTTCATGTATATAGCAACAAGTCTCGGAAGTGACGAATCCGGACAGCATTCCAATATGACCATAACACACAAATGGCACAATTGTGCTCAGGAAATGAATCCGACACCCTGCATATACATGAATCATGACCGTCTCGACCCATACATGAACCACCAAAAGACCGCCATCTTTTCCTGCCATATCCGAGGACGCCAGTAACGCCCAATGGTGACATCACGTCCTTAATGACCTAGTCCATCTTTTTCCTAATCACCAATAACTCCTAGACCGAAGAACATCCATAATGTACGCCGTATTATAAACAATTGACAAGCAACCCACGAAATGACTGAGCCACTCAATGATCGGTTGGCTCTGGCTTCACAAGGTCCATCTCGACACTTGGGGCCCGGGAGCTGTCCTCATCTGATGACGATTCAGCATTATCATCATCTTCATCTTCATCGTCCTCGTCATCCTCGCCCTCTGTCGCGGTAGAAAACTCTTCCTCGTCGTCCGAGGTTGGATTGCGCTCACTGCAGAAGCTTGCGAGCAGGTTGTGATCACCCTGTGGCTCCCGCTTGATGTTAGAGATCGGATCAGGATCAGTAGTAGCAGCTCGCAGGGGCTGAGGAACAGCAATAGCAGTTCCAACGGCGTCGGGGCCAGCAGTAGCAGCCCGAGCGCGCTCATGAACAACACCGACGGCCTGGACTACCTCAGAAGCAGCTGTGCCAGCTTGAAGAGGCTCAGGCCGGGCAGCAGCTTCAGGAGCAGCAACGCTAGGGGCTCGAGAGGGTTCAACAGCTGGTTGAACTGGCGCGGCGTGTTCATTCTTGATTGAGGGAACCGAAGCTTGGTTACTGCTCAGCAAAGGGGCCGGCTCGACGGGCTCAGCCTTGATGGAAGAGGTTGCAGTTGGTCCCGAAGATGGCGGAGGGGCATCTACCATTGATGCATCAACCACCGAAGTGTCCACAATCGATGCATCCACCATGGTCGTGTCATGATCATCGGCAGCTTCGTTAGCCGCGGCGTCCGGAGGGACAAAAAGGCCCTCGCTAGCAGCCCTCTCCTGCTTCGGCTCCTCCGGTTCTTCGACCTTCTCAGGCTCTTCAGGCTCGCCCTTGACGACGGGCGCGAACAAAGGATCGGTTTTTTGTAAATACGGCACCATCTCTGCTCGCAATGTTCGCTCTACCCGGGGTAGCCCCTTACGATTCGCGACCTCACTCCCAACCAGTGCCGAAAGATAATGTCTTCGCAGTATGTCGTGGAGATCGTCAGCCTCATCTTGAAGCCGTTTCTTGAGCTCCCTGCACATGACACCAAGCTGATCCTGTACAACGCGGGTGGCAGCCTGGAATATTGACATACGGTGGGTTCCAACATGCGCTTCCATTATGTCCTTCATTCGCCTAAAGCATCCCGAGCCTGTGAAAAAATGAAAGTGATTAGCAAAGTTGCCCGAAAAGTGATTGTTTTTCAAAGGTCCCGGTTAGCCACGTACCTCTTTCCTCAGCACAGGCCTGATACGTCCTCTCCATCTGGGTCTGAATAGTAGGCGCGAAGCTACGATTCGCATCACGCTGTTGTTCTTGAACGATGGCATTCAGTGCATCGGGTAGTTCAGAGATCTTCTGGCAATGGGCTTGGAGTTGCTGATACAACATGTTGATCCCGTGGTAATTATTTGCGCGTTGTTGAGTTCGAATTGTTGCCTCTCTGTGGAAGGTCTCGAGCAGCAGCTTGGTGGACTTGGCGAAGTTCGTCAGGACGCTGGGAAGACGGCGCTGGAAGGTTCGCTCCCAAGTAGTACTCAATGGCGTATGAATGGGTTCAATGAGCTCTGCATTAAAGTCTCGAAGACCCGAAGCACCAGAAAACACACCGCTCCGGCGACAGGTGGCTCTGTACGTTGACCAGAGCAACCCACCTGCATCTCTGTGTGCGCCCCAACCCGTGGCGGTGGGCAAGGCCCTGTCTGCTGCGACAGGCAAATACTTCTCAAAGATTTCATAGATGTTTTCCGCAAGCGCCTCTTTGAGGTTGTTCATAGTCTCCTTTACCACGTCATCCAGTTCCTACAAGATGTTAGCAGTTGACTAGCACCGCGGCCGGGGATGGGCCAGTGACTTATCTGCTCCATTTGGTCGATCCGCTTGCGCAAGTGGTTCTCCTCCGCTCGCTTCTCGCTGTCGGTCAGATTTGAGCGTGTGCCGTCATTGGTCGCCCACATGCTCAGCGAGTTGAGAAGTTGGGAAAGGTCAGCAAGGAAGCGTCTGCAGCTAGCAGCCCGACCATTTTCTGTAAGTTTTTGCGCATGGGCCTGAAGTTGAGGAATCTCAGTTTCCTCGAGTGACCGGAACCCAGCGCTATTAAACTTGTCCCTCACCAGCCTCCCACTCAGCTTCTGGAAAGCACGACTACTGACACAGAAAACTGGAAGAGTCTCAGCAACTTTATCATAGTCCCTTAAATCGACATCTGGGTTAAAGTTCTCCTCGTCCTCTTCGATCGCGGTTTCTTGGTCCAACTCTTTGATTCCCATGGCAAAGTCCTTTTTGATGGCCGTCCGGGAATATTCGTTTCTTCCTTGGATGCAGATAGCCTTGACCTCCGACTCCAAGTTCTTCTTTTCGGACTCGATCTCCTTGATAGCCGTCCGGGTTTCCTTTGCCTGGTCTTTGAGATCCCTAATACCCGCGCGAATCTTCTTTTTTTCTTCTCTCAAAGAAGAAATCTTATTTTCAATATCCTCTTTCGTTAATAGTTTTTTCTCTTCGCCAACTTTGGGGTTAGAGTTTTCCTTATTGCTTGAGTCGGACATTTCGGCATCCGAGTCATCTCCGTCTCCGTCGCTGCCGCTGTCGCTACCGCTACCGCTATCACTATCAATAGGATCGTTGTTACGTCGTTTGCGGCTTCTCCGTGATCCGCCATGACGCTTTCGTTTCTTGGCCTGCTGGGCTTCAGACGGATCGTAGACCTGCTCTCCCTTGTCCAGTTTGTCAAGTAGCACATCCCACTTTTCCATTTCTTCGTCAAGATGGTCGCGGATCTCGTCACACGCCGCTTCCTGATCTTTGAGATCACCGAGCTTCTTCTTGAGCTTCTTGATCTCGTCTTCTTTGCTTCGAATCTGTGTCTCGTGTTGAGAGACACGTTCTTCAAGATTGAGACTCTCCACTGCCTCAGTGACCGAGATATCATCGGTCTTTGAGCAAATGAAAGTCACAGCTGAATATGCGCCATCATATTTCAGCTGGCGCTTGAAGGTATCGCCAAGCAGAGACTTTGCCGTCTTGTCATCCACAGCGCGGGTGATGGGTGCCACAATCCAAAGACCGGTACATGCCTTCATGTAGTTTGCAGCAACGGCGGCTCTTGCGGCGTTCGAATCCTGGACACCGGGAAGATCGACGAGGCACACTCCTGTGGATAGGACAGAGGCCTTGGTGTATATGCGAACAACCTTGATAAGAGGCCAGTACTCAATCGACTTGTCTGTGTTCTTCTCCTTACTGTCGACGTAGGTCTGCAGTTGGCGGTAGAGACTGCTAGCTGTAGTGGCTTGAAGCTTCCTTGTCGTGCCTAACACAGCGCGAACTGATGGCTGGTTTACAAGCTCCACAGGGTTATGCTTCGGCATGGTGTCCTTGACGAGGCGGGGGTAGACAGCTTTGATCTTGGCATAGGCAATACCGGCCTCGCTATCTTCGTTGGAACTCTCGCGCGAAACCTCACCACTTCCATCAAGGAGATCGCTGTAGAGCTCTTGCAACTCTTTTAGCCACTCGGCCGATGTGATGAACTCGACTTCGGCACGGTAGAGTTCATTGGGATCCTTTGAGTGGTTGTAAGAGATCTCTGTGGGAGATGCCGTGCAAGCTCTCATGCAGTTAGTTGCCAGGAGACGCTCCTCATCAAGGACGGCACTGATGACACTCGACTTTCCGGCTCCTGTGTTGCCTACGACTCCAACAATAGTGCGGGTCGGTTTAGCGCGAGATTGAACATCATTGATCATCTTGAGCCACTGGGCGGCTGTGGTGTCCTCGATATTTTTGGCGGCTTCGAGGGGACCTTTGAGGCCCTCGAGAGCCTTGACACCGACACGGACAGCCCTCTCGAGGACATGTACCGACCGCTTTTCGCTGTCGTTAACGAGTTCTTGGAGCCACTGGAGGTCAATCCTAGGCTCGTCGTCATGTGTGGGCGCGGGCGGTGCATTGAAGCCCCTGTCATCGCGGGGTTCGCCCTTCACCGCAGCCATGGTTTCCCTGTGGCGAAAGTCTGTATGTACGTAGGCCAAGTTAGCTTGCGGCAGGAATATGAGACAGGATTGCGTCCGCAGGATCCTATTGGTTGTCGGGGGGGAGACTATAGTGTATATCAAGAATGGAACGGGCATACCTTTCAAATCTTCCTGGTTAGTCTGTCTGCCCCAGTGGTTGACTTGACAATGAGAGCACACTTCTGTGAGGGCCGACTTGTAGGGGGTTCACTCCGTCAAAGTCGCAATTGCACGGAATACCACAGTGATGATGGAGGATACGAAAAAACGGAGTCGCGTAGTAACACGCGACGCGTCATTTGACGTTCAGGTGAAGGAAGTGTCAGGCAAGTGTCTAGCCCTTGCGAGTAGTTATTACGAAGATGGTATGGTGGGGTGGGCAAACGAAGTAGACAATTCTAAACGATCTTGAAAGGACGGGACTGTGTAGAATACTCGAGATTAAATGGGAAAAAACCGCGATCCAGCCATATGTCGAATCGTAGATGTCTCAGGAAAGTTACTTGGATTGAGTGGGCCAGAAGAAAGACAAGACAACAGACCGAACCCACAGGATGGAATTGGCCGGGCGGGTTTCGGTTTCGACGGGTGGAATTGCGGGGATGTGCGCTGCTTCCAGTCCAAATCGAGTTGAGAATCCGAATCACTCGCAGGGGGGGCAAACGCGCCTTCTGTGCCCTAAACATTTGATAAGCACGCGTGTTAAGGCGGAAACCCCACCTCGACTTCACGTCACCTCGTGATTCAATTAGCGCGGCATCCTCGATCCGGCCAGCACCCTGCTAGCGCTTGCCTGCCTGTGTAGATGTGGGGTCTTCTGTCTGTTAGTGTTGTTGGTGACAGCTCCGTACTCACAGCGCAGGTACTTTTGAGGTACTTGAACAGGCACTTCATCCGTCAAGCAGTCCAGGCTTACCTTTACAAAATAGTATGATAGATCGTTGTAGTTCAAAGAGCGCTTTACGTGTATGAAACCACCATTCTTCCTGTTCGTTAGATGTACAACGATCTGTATTGTTGCTGGAGGGCAGAAAACCCAACGTGTAAAACATGACTCCACGAGACTCGTTTGATGGTGTAAGTGATGCTCGTAAAACCCCAACCCTAGACAGTGCTTCGTGAGCGCAGCCTGCCGAGTCAAGACAGCCATCAATTCATTGTTCAATGCAGCTCGCGTTATCCTCCAGCTTCATCTTGCGCCAGTTACTCAATCTTCTACAAAAACAAACCGACTACATTCAATCAAATTCAAGACGATCTCCAGCCGACAAAGCAACCATGTCGCATATGGTAAATCCCCTGGCGACGCCAGAACAGCTCTACCAACGGCGTTCCTTCGGCGCGCTTCCCACAGAGCTGCAAGACACCATCTTCTTTTCAACCCAATGCCTCACCCAAGCAGCCGGTCTGCTCCTCCAGCTCCCACAATCTGTTACAGCCCAGGCGAACGTCCTCCTCGCGCGATACTGGCTAGTGGAACCCATGATGTCCCATGAATTCAGCGTAAGCCCTTGCCTTCCTCCCACCTCCTCTTCTTCCCCCAAAGTCGCCTCATCATGAACCAACCACTAATACATCTTCCCTCCTCCCAGGACATTTCAGCCGCCTCTGTTTACTTAATCGCCAAACTATCCCCATACCCCCGCTCCCCGCGCGACCTCGCTCTCGTATACAACTACCTCCTCTCTCCATCCTCGACCTTCTTCCACCCATCATCCGCGCCTGCGTCCGACGACTCACAACCACCACCACCACCACCATCACCACCAACCAACATCCCAAACGACTACTACCTCCCCGAACACGTCTACAACTCCTTCCACACACGTCTTCTCCGCTGCGAATCCCGCATCCTTTACGCGCTCTCGTTCGACACGCACGTCTCCCTCCCCCACCCCTTGGCCATCACATACCTCCAAGCTCTCGATTTCCTCAACACCTCCAAGTCCACGATATCGAAACGGACGCTCGCGTACCTGAACACGGCGCTCCTGTCGCCGCAGATGCTGTACCTGACCAGCCAGCCGAACGCGCTGGCCGTCGCGGCTATTTACAACGCGGCTAAAGATGTGGGCGCCAAGATGCCCGAGTGCGAGTGGTGGGAGGTGTTCGATGTGGATCGGGAAGAGCTGGGGTTCTTGGTGGTGGGCATGAGGAGCGTGGATGGCTGGGGGCGGAAGATGAGAGAGGATGTGGAGAGAATGAAGGCGGGGACAGAAAGTGGTAGCAAAAGAGGCGGTATGATTACGCGGAGGGATATAGAGGGTGAACTAAGGAGGAGGGGTATAAGTCTTGGCAATGGTGATGATGGTGGGAACACTGGTGTTGGATCTGAAGAGCCGGTTGATATGGAGGCGGAAATGGCTAGGAGGATGGATGAAAAGATGGCAGAGATTGAGGGCAGTGCTTCCTGATGTGTGCTGCCAGAACGAATTTGTTCAACATGATGAAACTCAAGAGAGCCGGTCAGCTGAAGAAGCGACACCAGAAAGAAGGTTTATAGATAAGATACCCAATGATTTGAACGAAAAGCAATCAGCAGTTCTACAGCATATTGACATTGTCAGCTATTCTAGTCTTGCACTTAGTGCACGGGTCCGATCCTCAATCAATCCAAATTTACACTGATCCTCTACTATCACGGCTGCCCACTAACACTTCAGGCACTTTGTGAACTTGCTGAGTCGTCGTAATCACACATGGAACGTTATGAACAACCTGACTTGAAGAAAGCAATCTGTATCTGGTTATCTATGTTCGGATTCTTCCATCCGACGCAACTCTCAGTAGATAGGTATGAAACCCAAGCAAACGAACAAAAAAAAAAACCTAAAAAAGGAAGACAGCAAAACCGTCAATGTCCTCATCAAGACAAAAAGCGATGCTCGAACCAGGTTTCGAACCTGGGACCTTTTGCGTGTGAGGCAAACGTGATAACCACTACACTATTCGAGCCACCGATGGTAAATGTGACGCCGTTGTAATCCACAAGTATCGCATACTCTCTCTCCACTTGGTGCCACACATACAGGCTATGTATCTACAGACTAGGTAGAATTTTCACGACAGCGTCAAATGACGAACAAGCTCTTTGACTTTTTGTTGTATGCCACCAACCTGATATATAGTAGTAATACAACCCACCTTTCATTCCTCCCAATTCCTTTGACGGGGAGGTGGAATGATCGGACACGGCACAGTTCATCTGACCGTCACTCACCTCACCTCGAAACCATCCACCCCAACCCTCCCTTCACCATACTCGCAGCATCGAACCCCACACAAGTAGCTGTAGCATAATTGCCATCATGGCTAATACTAAGCAGCGCCACTTGATGGTTTTCAGTATCTCCCTTAACCCCCCTGATAATAGCCACAGGCGGTCCACTTCCCAACCTCGCCCTACCAGGAGGTGTTTCCTGCGGTGCTGTTGTCGTCCTCCCCCTCCTCCCCACCAGCGTGCTATCATTTGACTCTGTTGTCGTATCAGGCTTGTCTGTCTCAAGGTGATAATCAAACATTCGATCCTCAGGCATGATATCTTTTGTATCAACGGGGGTGGTCGGACCGGTCGTAGACCCTTCAAACGGTCTCTTGTCTGTTTCCAGGTGGTAATCAAATACCATGTCCTCCGGCATGATGTCCTTGGTGTCGACTGGCGTAGTAGGACCAGTTTGGGAGCCAGTGAAGCTTCGACGACGAAGAGCTCTGTCGGACCCGTTGGGTTTGTCGGTTTCAAGCTTATAGTCAAAGACTCGATCCTCAGGCATGATGTCTTGGGTATCCACGGGGGTGGTTGGGCTACGGGCGGAACCTTCAAAGACGTGGTGATGCTTGTTGTTGTTGTTGTTGTTGTTGTTGTTGTTGTTGTTGTTGTTGTTGTTGTTGTTGTTGTTGTTGTTGTTGTTGTTGGTGTCGAGCTGTTGGTCAAAGAGTCGGTCCTCGGGCATGATGTTCTTGGGATCTACTTTGGTGGTGGGCCCGGTTGTTGAGCCGGTGAAGGTTTTAGAAGAAGAAGAAGAAGAGGAGGAGGAGGAGGAGGAGGAGGAGGCGGCTAGTTCCCTCTCAATCTGGTTCAGTTCCGCTGCCTTGGCGACGATGATGTCGTGAAAGGTCAAGTGACGATGCGGATGGGCTTTGATAGCTGCTTCTTTTGCTGCGAACCTATAGGCCAAAAGGTCAAAAAGTGTTGGCTACCCCTAGTCTGTCTCTGAGATAGAGAACGAAAGCCTAGATTACTTACCTCCCAGCCATAAAAGCAGCTACCTCTCCCAAATCCACACCATGACCCTTCCACTTTTGTTCTAGCCGTTTATGACCATGACCAAACCCCTCGGTCTCCTTACCCTGCTGCTTAAGCGTGTCATGCTCCTTTGCAAACTTTAGCACAGCACGCAAGTATGACTTGAGTTTGGAGCTAGGCCGCCTCAACTCTTCCTCACACAGGATCCTGCGAACAAAATGTCGACCGCGGCCAGTAGGGCAAGACAAGATGGTCTGGATCCGCGACACCTGGCAGATATCGGTCCCAACATTCATGGGCCATGGAAAGCGGATGAGTCGAGATGCCATGGTGACATACCTTATTGGTAGCGGCTTGCCTAAGCGAGTCTGTCAAGCTGCTGAGAAGAGGAATATGTGGTGGTGAGCAGGACACCGAGGTGACGGCATTGTGATGGGACAATGTAACGTGCAAAACCTCGCAGGCATCTGATGAGTTAGGTTCTAGACCACTGAAGCATTCACTAAAATGCCCTACAAGGACGGACAAACACGCTAAAACACGACCGTTGCGACAACCCTACGTCATGAATCGCTTTAACGATACATTATCGATAAGGTAAGTTACCTATTATGGACGATAAGGTAAAGGAAGCCTGAACGATGATATTTGAACTCTCATTCTTTTTTTTTGACACCTTCGCGCATTCTGTTGCTAATCCTCCAAATCCTTCCCTTTTTTGGTGCTTGTGAGGCACATGATTACCTGTATGACAAAGTTCTTCATGCTTTCGATGCAAATAATTTCCTCCACTGCGGACGACCAATGCCGCAGTTCCGATCAACGACTGATAACTGTTATGAGAATTTTCAACATCGAACAACTTTTGGGGTTTTACCCTTCTTCCAGAAATGTAGTCCGTGCATGTACGGGCGAGGTTACACTTCTTTGTCAATATTCTTAGTTTTCGCCGAGAAGAGGAGCACGCTCGGCATCGGGCTGAGTCTGGCGTGTGCCCCAGCTGACCTCCTTACCGGTCCAAGCAGGTACGGCGACGACCACAGTGAAGACAAACAGCACTGCCATGATGGTGAAGGCAAAGATCCACTGGAATGCAATGACGCGGTCAAAGAACTGGGCAACTCCCAAGGAAGCACTGAGGACGCTCAAGTTGAAGCCCATGGTGTAGTCCTGCGAGCCGTTAGTAAACAGTGTCTGTAATGTAACAAACGAGCTGTGGAAAGCTTACCTTGTAAATGACAATGAAGAACATTCCATAGACCAAGATCGACCAGATGAAGACGTTGGCAAAGATACGAGCAACAAAGCTATGCTGGGCAGGGACCATAATGGCACCGTTCCAGTACAGAGCAACGAAGGTCCAGGCGAGGGGACCAGAAACAGCGGGCATATGGATGCCCTTGGGGTACGCATTATGGCGGAAGTACAGCGACGTGAGGTTGATGAAGTTGATGATCAACAAGATCTCGGACCAGATGAAGTGCGAGCGAACGAAGAGCATCACCCACCCAAAGTGAAGCAGGTTGTTGAAGATGAAGTGGCTACCAACAGAGGCGGCAGCGTTGACCTGGGCGGAATCGTTGGAGAAGAGGTGGCCGATGTAGACTAGCTGGAGAATGAACAAGACAAGCCTGTCCAAGTGTCAGCATCGATATACGGCCGCGGCTGGTGGATTTGTGCATGGTATTTAGTACTCACCAGTAAATAGAGGTAATGGTGGCATTCTGCGTGAAGCCCGAAGGATGGGCATAGTTCTGACCCCAAATCGTCCGCCGAATGAGGTGTCCATCGTGAGGCGATTCGAAATCGTAGTAAACGGTCGTGATCACGGACAGGACCCAAGAAAGCAAAGTCAGGACCTTGTAGGTGGTGATGGATGTCGAACTATGCGATTCCCGCTTCGCGAAGGGGTTGACTGTTGAGACACTAGTTAGCGCTGTGTACGACAAGACTGATGAGCGTATAGATATCCACCTACGATCGCTGAAGTTCGCCATGTTGAGCAGCAAAGGGAAGATGGACCTATGTGAGCTCAAGTGGGCAGACCTGTGGTTGATGGTGTTGTGTATTTGGAAAAGATTCCGACAGAGGGGGGGAATACGAGGAAGAAGAGAGGTGACAAAGTAGTCCTGCGGGCGGATGTGGGGTGTTATGTAAGGGCTGAGGAAAAACAAAAACAGGTAGACAAGACCAGATTGGGATGGAAAACGGGAAGAGGGTGTGGAGAGTGTTTCGGTTTGCGGGGAAGCAATGGAGGAGGCAATGGACGGATGTAAGTGGACAAGCACCACGGGAAGTTGAGCTACACGAGGAATTCCCATCCAGCAAGAGTAGGTAACTCTTCCATGCAATACCGAACGGGGGGCAAAAGGAAGGAAGCCGGTCTCGTACGTTTCCCTTCAACCTTCCTTGCTCTCACTACTACCTCTACGTATACTCTTTCCTTTATACAGGACGTTTCACCCAAAGTAGGTGACTTTTGGCTGCTACCCCGCGTGGGAATGAGGCCACTTCTTGCGAAGGGGAATTCCATTGATATCCAGGACAGCCATCAAGATGAGCCAAAGAGAACGTAAAACAAGAGATACCTACTACCTCTCTACTTCTCTACATAGCCGCGTAAGTGCGTCACTGTCTTGGCCTTTTTGTTTGTTCATCCGATCCGTGCCACCCACACCAGGCCAGAAACAAGCAGCTCTTTCAATGGAAAGCTCGGCTGTGGTTGTAATCCCAGGCAGAAGTAACCATTATCAGGTTCATCTTCCCCGGCGGTTTCACCACATGACCCTGGACTCGGACAAGGTCCTGGAGCTGAAGCCGGGCGGTAGCTTGTTAGACTTGCGCAAGCCATCGATCTATCTGCTGATGATTTGCGGACCGTTTCACGCATTCGCGACCGGCAGACCTTTTGATTTGCACAATGCGAATCCGTTCACCGGTGCAATGGTTATCATGACTAAGAAGAGTCAAGTTGGAGAAATACTATCAGCGAGGGACTACCGTATAACGGACGGGAAACTGAAGAGGTCGGATTTCTAGTGTACGAGTCTCGAACTTGAGAACCTTGAGGAATGCACAGAGTGGGAAGAGAGGTGGGGCTGAAAGGGCAGATGAGGTCTTTCCATGCTTCTGATTGGGCAAAACGGCTGGGTAATGTCGTCATCGTACTTGCCCTGTTCGTCGCCTCCAAGCCAGCCTATAGCGATCAGTATCAGTCCATCTGCCTGTTCATCCCACAAAAGGAAGTTACAACGGCACTCGAGACTCATGAAGAAGGGCGCTTTCCTTCGGCATTCGTCCACACAAATGTTGAGCATCTTTGCCTTAATAAAAGGATGGGCAGTGCCGTGGATGGAAAGCCGCTAGGTAAGTACGGACGGCATACCACTGAGATGGACGGGACACCGCCTCTGTTTAGGTTGTTTATTTTGTTTACTTTCCCATCGATGCCCGCATATGTACAAGATCCCGATGTTTTGATACGAGAGTTATGCCGGGCAACCACCTCAAGCGGCATCATGCTGTGCTGCCAGTGTCATCTTGAGCTCAATCACGAACATCCACTCAGCCTTATTGGGTGTAATAGTATCTTCGATCGACCTGGGCTATAACCAATCACTGCTCCAGTTGCTATCTTTATATCTGACTGACATTCCGACTGAGCGAGTCCAGACAGACATCCAATGTCATAGGTAGGTTCAGTGGATGGAGTCTTTCCCCGGTTGACTTAAACTGTGATCAAACGACACACCTATTAACCAATTGGACCCTGAAAGCAATCATAATCACTGCCATTGTGAAAGCCCAAACCCTGTGCTGCCGAACGCGAGTCCTGTTCCTGCCCAATATCATGGTCGCGGATTCTCGAAACGGAGATTCAAAGGTTGAGAGGCTCAAGAGCATCGACGGACGGAAGGAGTTGAATGTCCTCCCGTCCCCATTAACATGATGTTACAGGGAATCATGTGCCATCATTACATTGATTGATCTCTTGGGTGTCTCAGATCACCGACCTCTGATTTGCTTATGGTTAATGGTCAGCCTTCGTAAACTTATTGCCAAAACATACTGCCACCCTCCCCCACATATCCAATGGGGCAAGGGGTGGCAGTATTTTTGTGAGCATCACTGTACTAGTACGTAATCACCTTCAAGTACCGCAACTTCACTGTCATCATGACATGTCACTGTTTAGTAGACAACACATCATTGAGAGAAAAAAAACAGCATTTTATCTAATCGCTTCTTCTAAACATGAGCACAAGTTCTACAAATAAATAACAAGACGAAGCGCCCTGACGCCTGACACAATATGTAAGAATCCCATCTCACCACCATCAACAGCCCCCTATCCACATCCTCTAGTAATCCATTATCATCCTCTCACCAGCCTTTGTCTCTTCAACACCCAAACCCCTCAAGTAGCTCAGGCAGCCTCAGAAGCCTCTGCCATAATCGCCTCTCCCTCATCCAACAAATCCGTCACCTTCTTCAAGTTCCCAATCAAACTCTTACCCAGTCCCACCAACAATAACTTCTCCGCATTCGCTGGCAAGCCCAAGTATGTAGGTGGCTCGCGCTCCGGTAGCTTCTGGATCCAGCTCATAAACTCCTGCAGCGATGTGCCACTGGGCACCACAAGGTCACCTCCGGTCGCCGCATCCTTCTGTTCATCCTCCGCATCATGGCTGACTTCGACAAGCTTGTGGCCGATATCGAAGGCGGACGGCGTCAAAAAGGTGTGGACGAGCTGGTTGAGCATCTTGAAGTCGTTCTCGTCGTCAATCTTGCCGCCGTAGGTCTCGACGATAAGGTAACGGATCATCTCCCAGGGGATGTTGGAAGGAGCGATGTTGGTGCGGCCGTGGGCGGCCGTGTCGATCCAGGTATCGATGACGTGCGCGGAGCATTCGTACTGTGTTTGGTTTGGTTAGTGCCATCAATCAATCATTGAAGGTAAGTAAGAGGGATATAGTTGAAGAAGAACTTACGTCAGCATCATTGAACTCCCAGAAACCCTTCCAGCCCAGGTTAGGCGCATACCGCAACCTTTCTTGAACAACGGCGTGCAAGAACGACAGCAGCAGATACAACCTTGTCCTCTCGACGGGGCTCTTGAGCGACCTGGTTGAGATGCTCGACATGGAATCCTTCATGTTCGCCCTGACACCCGCAGGCTGCTCGTACATGAGCACTCTTGAGGCACGCAGCAAGTTGACAGGGATCTTGGGGCTCGACTCCATCGACAAGAACAGTCTGAACTCGGGGTTGGGGTTGAGCGTCTCCATCTTCTTCTCCACGCCCTGAAGCCAGCCGGGAGCGAGATGAACGTTCTTGATGAGAACCCATGATCCGGTCTGAGCGGCGTTGGCGATGGCCTTGTCGGCACTGCCTTCAGCTTCGGCCGAACCCATGGCGATGTTTGTGCAGCGGACGCGCATGCGCTCAACGAGACCGTCGACCTTGTAAGAGGCATCGAAGCCGGGGGAGGAAACCAGGGCGATAGGCCGGATGGCCGACACTTGATCAACGGTTTGCTTGAGGTCCTCGACAATGTCAAACAGGTCTGAGCCAAAGACAAGAGTGACGAAGCGCTCCGCCGCAGGGACGAAACGATCGAGGCGGAAGAGCTTGACAAGCAGCAGCGACATAAGCGCGCGGTCGTTAGGCTCAGTTTCGTCGTTCCAGATCTTGGGAACAAAGTCCTCGGCCAACTCCTCGGTGAAGAACTTCTCCCAATCCGCTTCTGGAACTGCGTCGATCTTGTCCTTGAGAGCAGGAGTCTTCTTCGCCCGCGCAAATGCTTCTTCGCGGGTGTTCTGATCAATCGAGACATCCTTACCCTCGATACGCTCATCAAGAATGATATCCAACAGACCCTTGTCCATCTTGTAGGGCGAAGCTTGGGCAAGAAGCATAGCAAGAGTGATGCGGTCCTTCTGCAAGAGACCCAGCGCGGTGCGCTTGAAGGTGGCCACAAAGAGATCCTTGACAATGATATCCCGTCTAACATTGTGGTTTGTTTCGTTTGCCAGATGGGGATTTCCGCGGAGCACAGAATGGAAGATATCGAGGAAGTACTGCAGCGAGAACCGGTAGAAGTGGTTGAGATAGTGCAGCTGTTCGAGTACGGCGAAGACAGCACTGCAAGACCTGGCAATGATGTTGTACTGCAGTGTGATCTGCTCCACTTCGGCCATGACGCCCTCGGTGTTGCTCATCTTGGCTGAAATCTCGGCCGCCTCCGTCTTGAGGGTCTCGAGTGTCTCGATAACATGGTCGTCATCAAGAATGTTGCCACGCGACTCGTTGAGCGCCTGGAGCAGCTTCTTCTCAAGTTGGCGGAGATGGACCTTGAACTCGCCCTGCAGCTTGATAAGGTTGGACCGCCTCTCATCTACGTCAGGTCTCTCAGACTTGAGAACCTCGTTGAGTGACTGCGTCTGCAAACTGCTCTGCGTGACCGTGAAGTTGACAAAGGTCGTCCTACTGCAAATATCCGGCGCGAACGTAGCAGATGGATCTCTGGTAGAGAGGTAAAGCTTGAATGCAGGCGAGAAATCGATTTGCTGCTTGCCAAGTTGGATAAGGACACGGCCACCGGTCTTCTGGTATTCCTTGTTGAGCACGTGGTTGAGCACAGGATCGAGGTGTTCAGCATCCTGAATGAGAATGGGATTACCGAAACGAAGGGAACTTTCAAGGACCTTGGTGAACGAATCGTCCAGGAAACTTGTGACGGTAAGCTTGCGATCCTTAGACTCCCTGTTAAGGAACTCGGTAACGCGACCCGAAGGATCGATGATGAGCGGGTACCGGTTGAATCTCTTGAGGATAATCGCATTCTCCGTGCACAAATCGTCCACAGGCAGCGTGTTCTCCTGCCAGCTGAGCCTCTCATCCGCAGTCGAGAGATACTCGGTCATCGGGTTGTGTTGCTTGAACTGGACGCCCGACAAGTGCAGCTGGTGGAGCCAGTCTTCCATCATCGACTTGCGGAAGGTCTGGTCGTACAGACCGCTGTAAGCCAAGAAAGCCGCCGCGACAAGGACGTCGCCGACAAGCGTGCTGATTTGTGTCTCGAAAGACCTGCTGCCCTCCTCCCAACGAGTTCTCTCGCTCGACAAGCTGTCAAGAAGCTTGACACTCCTATCAACCTTGAACTGCACCCTCGACATCTCCGCCTTGATGGCTTGCGTCTCGCTGATGAGTGCGGCGTACTCGGTCTTGTACCGCGCGATACTGTTTTCAAGGGTGGAGATTGTCTGCTCAACAGCCTTGGCCTCGGCCTTGGTCTGTAAAGCCTGTTCCTCAAGCAACATGACTTCTTCCCTGAGGGGACCAACACGGTCCAGGATCTCAGCATAGTTAACCTGCGCCTCCACCCACTGCACGAGGGGACCGCAGGCCTTGGACGCGCGATTGACCTTCTCAAAAGTGAACTCCGGGTTGGCCAAGAACTCGTTGCGCATCTTGACCCTGAGACTCTTGGTCATTTGCTTCTCATTGTTGAAGTTGACAATGCTGGCAATGAAGTCATCTCTGCGCACAATACCCTGGATCGTCTTCCAGTCGTTCGCCTTGTGGCCAATGAGCGTGCAAACGGACTCAAGCGCAAGCTTGACACCAGAAGGGGGAGTAGGCATAGACCTGACTTCCGTGAGATGTTGCCTCTTGATGCTGCTTACGGAAGCCTTGGCCTCCTCGACAGCTGGCTCTGCCCTGGCGAGATCCTCAAGCACGACCTTCTTGCGGGATGCAACCTCGGCTTCCTGCTTCTCTAGCGCGGCCTGGATCTCGAGAGAGATGTTCTTCCTTTGCTCGGCCTCGCGTTGATCAGCCACCATGCGCTGCAGTTTCTCGTTGGCTTCAGCGTCCTTCTGCTCCAACTGAGCCTTCTTCTCCGAGAGTGTGACCCTGAGGTCACGGACCTTGTCGACGGTGTCACGCAACTTCTCCAAACCAACGTTGAGATGGCGTTGCTGCTCTTCGAGATCTTCCCGCTTTTCGTTGTATAGCTTGACGTATTGGGCAACGAAATCGAGGAAGTGGCGGGGAGTGAGGAAAGTGATCTTGCCCTGCTGTTTGAGCAGCTTGGCATTGAAGCGCTGCAGCGAGTAATGGATGTAAACCATCGCGTTGACAACCGCCTCTCTGTGCGAAGGCGGCAAGTTGAGACCCCTGTAGGCAACGGGAATGGTATCCGGTGCGGTCCAGTTCGGCCGATCCAAATCCACAGAATGAGTAAGCTCGTGTGCAACTTGGAACAGTGCTTGATCGGACCAGTCTCCAAACCAGTTGAGCACGCAACGGTTAAAGAGCGCAGGCGACGTGGCAGCCTTGGACGACAGGCCGTCCTCACCGGGCGGGTTCATGGTGAACACGACGTGAAGATTCTTGACAATCTGGCCTGTGAACCACTTGTACAGCTCTTCCTGTGAATCAAGCAGCAAGCCCTGGCGCTGCGCGCCTTCCTTGCAAGCTGTCATGAGCGCAGCAAGATCATCACCCTCGAACAGGCCCGGCACCTCCGCGTTAGCGAGAAGGGTATTCATCCTTTCGAGGAAACCGGAATCCAGCACGTTGGACTCATCCATAATGAAACAGATCTTCTCTCCCTTGCAACCACACCTCCTCAACACCTCCCTCAGATCTTCATCAAAGTCCTCCGCCGAATACTTGCCATGCACCTTGATCTGGAACACCTTCAAACCGTTCATCCAAGCCACAAATCTTGACAGCGTCGTCTTGCCCGAGCCACTGACACCAATGAGAATCAAATGGCCTTGAGGCTGCCTGAACACACGATCAATGCGCAAGACATGCTCCAGGACATCGTTGAACAGAATGAGGGGCACATCAACCTCTTCCTCGCAGAAAGTCTTGAGTCTGGCCTTGACGAAATCGCGCAACTGCTCGCGATCGACCGGTACGTAATTCTTGGATAGCCAGTTAGAGAAAAGGATAGGTCCGCCAAGCGCCTTGTGTTCATCGATCGTAGGGAAGTACTCCATGGCAATTCTGCGCACCGCATCATCAGTCCACTTGCGCTCTTCCTCGTCAACCAATCTGTCTTGGAACAGACGCAGCGCTTCGTGGGCCCAGATACGGATGAGGCCCTCGACGGACAAGGTCTCAAGCGGCCTGATGGCTTCGTACACACCACGCACCCATCTCGTCAATTCACGAGGACTGTAGACATAGTGCGGTTGAATCTTGGGTGTGAACCGTTCTTGCGACTCGAGATAGAAGCGCACCATGGCCTGGGTAAGTGCCTCGGCGTATCCGCGCAGCGAGGGAATGACCTTGAGAACGGCCGCGTTGAAGCTGCCATAGATCTGCATGAGCGACAGCTCACCGGGGTAATCAACCATGATGAGAGGTGCGTGTCTGAGGAATCTCGCGCCCATGGGCGTACGACCAGCATCGGTAGGAGGATTGCAAGCACCGACAAACTGGATTCTATCAAGAGTGACCCATGCCTTGTCTGACGTTCTCCAGAAGCCGTTGTGTTCAACCAGCTGGCGGAGGAAGGAAATGGCACGCTGAGTACCGTACTTGTCGGGAGCAGGCAAGTTGATTTCATCACAGAAGATGACAAGCCAGCGTCCAATCTGGGTAGGCGAAAGCATAACACCGTTCAAGGTTTTCTTGTACTCGCAATACTGCTCGAAAGTCTTGATGAGTAGGTCCGGTGTAGTAGCACTCGAGAAGTTGAGGCCGACGACCTCCATGTTGGGCAATTTCCTTAGAGCGCTAAACAGCGTCATCGTCTTACCGGAACCCGGAGGACCGCAAAGAAGCAGCGGCTTATGCTCAGCTAGCCATGAGTACAACACATCCTCGTGACGGATGGTATCGAGCGTGGGGATGACGACATCAGTCTGAGTTACCGAGTGGGTGTTAACCTCGATGGTAGGAACATGCTGCTGCCAAGTCTGCCATTCGCCCTGAGGCATTGTGACGGTAAAGTCAATCAACGAGCTCGTGCCATCCAGTGGCGGTGATCCGAAGCTCGCCAATCCTGCGACCTTGTCACCAAAGGCCTTGCGATCCTTGAGAGGGCAATCACCAGTGAGTGCCCAGACCAAAGCAAGGAGCACCTTTTTGGCAATATACCCCTCCACCTGTTCTGGATCCATAGGGAAATCAACGTGAGCGGAGTTGTACTCGATGATATCTCTGACAGCCTTGTTCAGGAGCGAGAACAAGGTACTAAGCACTCTCGCGACTGTGAACTCCATGATGTGCTCGTAGTTTGCAGCCTCCTTGAGAACCTCATTGATCAGGTTGTCTCTCGTCAAGAACTCTTGGAGCAGATCAGCGGCTTGGCTCTGGACAGCCAGTGCCTTAGCAGAGCTCTGGCCTGTAGCGACCGCATCCTCGTCGAGGTCTTCGAAGGCGACGGTTCGCAAGGTCTCAATGTAGTTGGAAACCATCATATCGGGTGTGACGGTGTCCTCGCTGAACCAAACCATACCGCATCGACTGACAGTAGCGAGGGTGGCATACTTGAGATTTTCGACCTCGAACATGATCCGAACGTTGGGTGGGAGGTTAAGACGCTCACCGTTGGGCAAAGTGAGAAGCTTGTTGTCGTCGAGAACACTGTTCAAGTTTTCGACCCATTCGGGGTCGACATCACCGTCAAAGACGATCCAGTGGCGCTTGGCGTCCTCTCCACGAAGGTTATCAACGATCTTGCGGAGAATACTGGTGAACAGACCATCAGTCCACTCTCTGGTGGTAGAATCCAGGTTGCCATAGAGAGCTTCCTTAGACATGACCTTGCTGTCAATGACATGAGAGACGCCCTCGACGTTCTCCGTTTGCTGTAGGGCGTCGAGCAACAACCGCCATGCAGCCGACTTGCCCGAGCCAGAGTTGCCCACCATCATGACACCATGGTGAATCTTTTGGATCTGATAAAGCTGCAGGACCTTGGTCATCCAGATGTCGTTGACCACCAGCTGCCTTTCTGCCGCCAAACGCCTGATGGCCTCTTGCAGCTTCTCGAGGCTGGCAGGTACGTACTTCACACCAGGGAAGCAAACACTTTCAATCTCCATCATGATCTCCACATCGGACTTGATCAACTTGGGGGCAATTGTTTCTCTGATGCTTTGCACGATAATCTCAGGCTCGACAACATCTTCAGGGCCAAGCGACTCAGCCTCGCCGGTCTCCAGCAGTCTGGCGCGCTTCAGGCCACCGGAACTAACCAGCACGCTCTTGAGGGCTCTGAGACCGAAGTCGTAATGCGCCTGCTTGGACAGTTTTTGAGAGCACTGGTCGAAGAACGGCACAGTATGCTTACTCAACTGCTTTGCCTGATTGAAGCCCTGGGAGTATAGCATGACCTCAGCAATGAGCTCCTTGTCGGGCTTCGACATGGCCACGCTCCTGAACAGCTTCTTCAAGTTATCGGGCAGGTTGGAACGGCCAGCGTAACCAGGGTTCATGGTAATGAAAATACCGGCGTTGGCGTTGACGTGGATTTGTCTGCCGTCAAGCTCGATCTGCGCCTTTTCATCTTCGGCGCCCATCTTCAGGCCGAGCTGGATATCCTGGATCTGTTGCGAGACAGCCGAGAGAATCTTCTCCTCAAGACGGTTGAACTCATCGAAGCAGCCCCAAGCACCGACCTGGCAGATACCGAGGAAGATACGGCCCATGGCCTGGTTGTCAAAGGTATCATCACAGCAGAAGACCAGCGTGAAGCGACCGAGCTGTAGACCGAGCGCCTTGACGGACTCCGTCTTACCTGTTCCAGCAGGACCATATGGCGAACCACCCAACCGCTGGCACAGAGCTTGGGTGAGAGTGAGGAAGCACCTGTCTGTAAGCGGCGTGCGAACAAGTCGATCAGGAACACCGAGATATTCAAAGCCATAGTTAAGCTTGGCATTGGCCATCTTGATGTGCAGACGCTGGAGAAAGTCCCCTTCTGGGTTGTAAACATAGCGCATCTGCAGAAGCCACATGTAGTGTGTGTTGGAGTTGGCGTTAAGTTTGACGAGCTTCTCAATCACATCGCGCTGGTGGACGCATTCAGTGATAAGCTGCTCGCACTTCTTCCGAAGCAGGACTTCAAGATCGCCGAGAACAGTATCAGCAAGCATCCGAAGGACCTGAACTTCGCGGTCAAACAGCAACTGGAGGTCCTTTCCGCCATCGGCGAGTGCCTGGTCCACCGCGGTGGTCCAAACCACCTGCGTAGCGAGCACGACGATCTGACTGGGGTAGGTGTTCATGAACTTGATCAGGGCGTCGCGATCAACGTTTTCGCTCGAGAAAATGGGTGTAAACTCGTCCACTGCCTCAGCGAGCAGTTCGGCAAGCGTAACCTTCATACCATTCTCCAGCAGCGCGAGCCAGTCGTTGATCCTGGGGGTCTTCACGAGGTTGATCTCCTTCTTGAGTCTGACTGTCTCGCCTTCTTTGCTGGTAAAGCCGGAGATGACTCCCTCATCATCCATGACAAGACCGTTGAGGCCAGCGAACATCTTCTTGAAATGCTTGGCAATGCGCATGGTGTCGTTGCTGTTACCAATCATCTCCAGCAAATCTTCGTCACCAACGAAGTAAAATCTTGGGAATGAAACACGCTCCTTCTCGAGATACTCGCCGAGCGCCTTTTGGATCTTGTTGAGCAGCTCAGCGAGGCGCTCAAGAGACTTCTGGACATTGGGGATGTTCAGCACGTCCAAGACATTGGGCTGCTTGTAGACCTTCTTCATAACCGCCAAGAATTCACTGTTAATGTTCTGGAAGCGAGAAGATTCGATGGGCAGCAGATGCTTGATATCCGCGTTGCCGTGGAATACGCCTTCCAAATAAACCCACTGGCGTTGGACGTCTATCCAGATATCAAACAAGACATGCACGCGGTTGAGTTTCTCTTCCCAAGAGGACGCCTCCTCCTCGAACTCCTTGTAATAAGGAGAGTGCTTCATGGCCTGGAGCGAGTTCAAGTTCTCACTGCACTTAGCAAAAAGGTCGTCCCAGCCACGGATAAGGCGACACTTCTGCTGGTACTGCACAAGCTCAAGACCGTAGTTCGTCCATGTCTCGCGGACCTGTTTGAGGAACTCCTCGAGGGCCATTTCACCTTGAGCCTGGATAATGATATCCTTGACAATCACCTCAGTAGCGACGAGGTTCAGATCCCAGACGTCTCCAAGGGTCATTGAGACAGGAGAGTAGCGTTTACCTGGCTTGATTTGCTTGTAGATCTTGGTCCAATGCCTATCACGCACAGCCTCCGACTTGAGCTCGCCCAGAATAGAATTAACCTTCATCAGCTGCCTCAGCACGTTCTGGATATGCTCGAACGCAGCATACTGTCTCATTCTGCTCGGCATCTCCTTGGTCATTTTGATAAGATTATCGATCGACGCACGGATCTTTCTCGGCTGAACACTGTTCCAAAGCGTCTCACGAAGCTCATTGAGGTTCTTCCAGATGGTAGACAGTGACGCCCAAACAGACTTGAAGTCTTGAACTTCTTCGAGGATAACACCAAGCGAAGTGTCAGGAGTTGGCGCCAAATCGAGCGCCTCCTTGGCCTTGGCAACCATGGCCGACTCCTCCTGCAACTTGGTAATGCGCTGCTCAAAATGCGTGAGGGTGGCAGAGGCGACGTCCGGAGCAATGGTGCCAGACACGGGCTTCTCTTCGTTCCACTGGTGAGCGATCTCGGCAATCTTGTCGTTGACCACCTTGTCCTCGGCAGTGATCTTGGCGCGAAGGGCATCCGACTGGTCGGTAACAATCTTGCTCTTGCGGGCAAGCAGTTCATTGAGCATATCCCACATGCCATCCACCTGCTCGGCATGCAACCAGTCATTCTGGAAATGGTATCGCTGGCGGACAAGAGTCGATTCACCCTGCCTAAAGGTTTCAATCTCGGGAGCCCACAGCTTAACCTGTCTAGTGCAGCTCTGGACAATCGTGATGAACCGGACGGCCTCGGCCGTGGAGTTGGCCGTCATTGCCTGGCCCTCGAGGTCCTTGCGAGCCTTCTCGAGCTCGGCATACACTTCACGCATGCGGTTTCCGAGGCGGCTGGCAAATTTGATGAGAATATCCTGCTGCCACTGATCGTACTTGGCATTGACCTTTGTCTGGACCTGATCATAGTCAATGGTGATGTGGCCAAACGAGCGGCTAACCTCAGTGGTATCGAATGTTTGCCTGGTCTTGCGAATCTCCTGAAGAAGCTGGAGCCACCTTGAAAGCTGGTCACCAAGAACATCATAGACATGCTCGGATTGGAGATCCCAGAGCGACTGGAACTGCAACCACTTGTCGACATAAGCGCCAATCTCGCGAATCTTCTTCTCCACTGAAGTCTGCACCCTGAGAAGCTCCTCAGTACAATCACCGGGAAGATCATTGAAGCGCGGCTCATCAACCACTTCTGTGCTAAGGCTCATGGTGTACCTGGTCGCCTTGATCTTCTTTAGGTTGCAGATAACCCCAATCCAGTCCTGCAACTGGGCAAACCAGCTGGCTCTTGCGTATTCGAGAGGCGGGTCGAGATAAATAACTTGATTCCGCATGGTAATTTCGTGCACCAGACTCTTGATAACCGGACCAATCGACTTCGCCGCATCAGGAGAAGCGATTTCCAGAAGCCTCTTGCGCTCGCTCGGACGCTCAACATCCTCATCTTCAAATGCCTGTATCCAAGCCTGAATTGCGACCTGCAAACGAGTATACAGAACATCCTTGATTTGCCTGTTCATGCGCTCCACCCAGTAACCAAGGTTGACGTACTGCTCCAAGTTCAGCTGGTCAACTGCATGCTGGATGGTTTCGAGGCGTGACTGGAAGGCCGATGCCTCGTAAGGACAGGTCTTGAGCTCGTTGAGTGCCTTTTGTACCGTGACATAGATATTGGCAAGAAGGAGAGTCTTGGACTGCAGCAACGAAACCGAAGCAGCGAACTCGCGGATGAACATGACATGCTTCGTCTCGCTAACCTTGGAGCCTGTCTGGCCCAGTGGGGTGTTGGGATTGAAAGTTGGCTTGAAGTGCACTTCGTAGGTATTGACGAATGTCTCCCACCGGAGCGGTATGCCCTTGGAGATCAGCGTGTACACATCGTTGCGGTGGCCGCTCAGCAGCACAGCAACCTCGGACATGTCAGAAATCTGGCGGTTTGTCTGGGCAAATGTCCTGACACTTTCCATCAGACTGACAGCAAAGGGATATACGCGTTTTGCCTCTTTGGCCACGTTGTTGACCGAATGGGGGACAGGGTAGTTGAGCCAAAGCAGATTTCGGGTTTCCTTGAACAACGCGATGACCTGCGCGTCGAAGTTCACGGCCAACTCGAGGATGTTTCCAGCAGAGCGAATCCTATTGATGGTGAACAGCAAGCCGGAGATGGATATCTGCTTCCTCTGGACATCATGAAGCCAAGCCTCAAAGATGGGCCTGGTATCCAGCTTCTTCCTGAACAGATCACTCTCATTCTGAAGCTTTTGGCCCTCGGTATGAAGAGCCCAATCTGAGCCAAGGACTTGCTCCACCTTCTTCATATACTGGTCAAGTTGCCGCTCAATTTGTCTGGCCCATATTATAGCACCTGACACCGGTGGCAGATCGTGAAGCTGAGCCATAGCATGAGCCTCCGAGTGGCCATATTGCTGCTTGAAACGCTCGTGCAGAGAGCTAATGGCCTGCTTTACGTTGTCGATGAGCTGTGTTTGGTACTCTGCGATAGCACCACGAATCTTGGGACGCACGAACAGGGCGTTAAATTTGGAGAAGACGCGAAACATCTCGTTGGCGTTCTTGGCCGTAGCCAGACGATCACGAAGGCGGGCGATGATGGAATTCTCCACACGAGCAGTGCGCTCGTTGTAGATATTCTCTGCGCGTACCCATTTTTCGGTGCCTTCACGGGTACAATCAAGCAAATCGACATCCTTCAAAGCCTCCCAAGCTTGCTTAACCTCATCAACCGCGTCCACATCGCCGATTTCCTCGACTACAGCGACGCCATTAGCGCCAGACGCCGTAACAATGCCATTAACAGTGGCCTTGGGACCCAGCACGTTAATAATCGTCTTTTGGAGTTGCTCGTGGTTATCACGGAAGTTGTGGACATAGTCCAAGCGAGACTGCAGCTCAGCGTGACGTGGGTTAATCTTGATAGGAATAAACTTCTCGTTGCGCCGGCGAGTCACTTCACGAGCGACATTGGTGAATTCTTTGATGCTTTCGTCCCAGGCGCGGAAGATGCTGCCCGCCTGCTTCATGACACCCTTGAACTCTTCATAGTCGAGTTTGACCAGCTCCGTTCCAGGAAGCAGTCGGTGTAGGACCTCGTCCAAGTCACCAGAAATGGCTTCGACCAAGGGAAGTGCGCGGCGAATGGGATATGGGCATATCCTCAGCTTCTTGTTGAGGTGGCCAAAGATCTGCCCAATAGATTCCTGAACCTTTGTGAGGGTAGTGGCAGACAACAGCTCATCGAGCGGGAAATCTCTCATGAGCTGATTGTACTTTTGAACCTTTTCCATGGCCTCCTTCAAGCCCGTATCAGCCGTGAAACTGACAGTGGCCTGGAAACGCTTGGCATGCTTGAGAATATCAAGCGTGAGCATAACGCCCTCACTCCGCAGTTGGTTCTCGATTCCCTCGAGGGCTGCCTCCATGGACAACCAGAAGTTGATTTCTTGGTTGGCCGTGCCGGTCGTCGGGTCCCTCGTCATCTTGGTAATCACCTGAATAGACTTGATCCAGTTGTTGACAGTGGCCTGCAGGTTGTTAAGGAACGTGCTGTCCGCTAGCACGGTGGCTGGAAGAAGGTCGATGGAGGGTTTGACATTCTTGGTGGCCGCTTCCTCAAGCGTACTCTGTACGAGAGGGTGAAAGGGCAGAGACACCTCGGGGATCTCGACATTTTGCTGGAGGTGAGACAGACTCAGTTCCAGCTCCGTCCAGCGCTTCTTGGTCACAGGAATTCCAGTCTTGGCATCGACATCGGGACGGCCCCTGGCACCGTTGAGCAACTGCTGGCTTTTGGTGCTCGCATCGAAATATGGAGCAAGACCGTTGTGGAGATACAGCTGGAGAATCTCGTAAGGGGAGCTGGTAGGTCCCTGCTCGCTGCCGCTCGTTGATAGGTATGCAGGGCCCGGCAGGTTGAGCATCTGGATCTGGGAGGTGAGCGGGACGATAGGGTCGAGAGGCTGAGGGCGTTTCAGCAAGACGAGGTAGGCAACAGTCGTTGGGGACGAGGTCAGATCGCTTGAAATAGTATACACATGGGTAGGCTCGGCTATCGCAGTGAAGCGTGTGTTAGCTACATTTCTCAACGCGTGCAAAGTGGAAGCACCGAACGTACGCTCTTCAGCCTCGGCTCCATTATCTCCATCAAGTGTAGTGGTGGGAGCAAGATCTTTCTGTATGTACAGGGCAACCTGGGTATCCAAGGCAAAGCGAGAGCAACGCTGAACGGTGTCCGAATAGCGAACCTTGGACAGGAGACTGCCGGGAGCTTCGAGCTCGTCTCGCTTTGCGCCGAGGGTAGCTTCAAGCAGGAGGACGAGATGGTCGACAACCTTGACAGGATCGACAGCAGCAAACGGCGTGGTCGCAACGCCATTGGCGTCCGGGCTCGGCTGGGGAGGGGGCGAAGGCACCGAATCCGTCATGATGGCGATGGACTACCGAGAGAGGTGCGTTCGGAAGTGAGACGATAGGTAGGGTATGGCAAGATGTAGGTAGGTTCGGGACTCGACGGTCTAATCGATCATTTCATCTGGGTCGGTCTCTACAGCGCACGGCACAGGTAGATGGTGGTAGGGCTCGTCGTCGGGGACGTCGGGTGAGTGTTGTGGTAAAGTCGTCGCTGCCCGTTTGTGGTTCGAGATACAGTAGCACTCACTGACGCGAAGCTTTAGCGGGAGGTATCCGACACTAGAGGTACCTTACTCGAGCTAGTAGCGCACAGCGGGCAAGCAAGAGCAATGGAATCGAAGGGAAGGGCGCGACTGGAGTGGGCTCTACTGGTTCTCGAGGGCGCAGTCGCAGAAAAAGAAGAAGAAAAAAAAGCTGAAGCAAAAGCCGAATAGTATGGTGGTGTAGTCGGTAGACGGGGAAGAGAAGACGATCGTGGGGTATCTTTCTTTCCTGCTCTGCTCTAATGTGGATGTGCTCTATCTATCGGACGGGGATGTGCGGCGGGCGGGCGGGCGGTGTGCGCAAAAGTTCAGCTGTTTGTCCAGACGAAAGAGTGTCGTTAGATGAGTAGCTTAGAAAAGTCAAAGAGTTGGGTGTTTACTCTTGCAGCAACAACCACGGGCTGAGGATAGCTTCCCCTTTGTCCGTTGTTGGTGTTGTGCTGATGTTGCCCTTGTAGACTTTCTGTGGGTTGTTGTTTTTCGGTGGGATGATGCGTTTTCGTGAGAATCTTCGGTTTGCGACCGAGGAAGTGTACACAGTAACTGCCCGTGGTGCTGGCTTGTGGTCCAAGAGGGGGTCCATGGTGGGCGCCGCCCGCGTTCCGGTCCCTGCCCCAGAGCGAAGGGAAGGGACGGGGCGCGGAACTCGCGACCCTGTGCTGTGGCCCAATCCAAGCCCTGTCGCAGTGTCGCGAAACGAAGGCGGCGAATCCATGTATCAGAACCCCTGACTTTGGAGATTTGCGGCTTTTCATTGGTCAGTCATATACGAAACATCAGGCTTCAACGGTCAAGGGTGTAGATCTAGAAGACACACCTAACATGGCGGGGTTTTCTACGCTCATATCGTAGCTCTAAATTCCAGGCTATCCGTGTCTACCGTCGAGTTTTGGACACACCGGGAACTTCCAGTACATCTCTCATCACTCGAGGCCTGTTGTATCACGTAAGCCACATATGCAGGATGGTTCCTGCGTGTAGGCACAGAGTCATCGAGAGATCAGAAGCCCTCCATATGAAGGGGTGGGATTAACAGACCTACCTGGCAAGGACCCTCGTCCCAAAACACCAGCCATAGAGGTGCTCAACCTGCATGAGGAAAGAAAGGAAGAAAAAAAAAAAAAAAAAAAAAAGGAAAAAGAAAAAAAACCATGTGAACGATGGGGATTGTTTCTGGACAGCGACAACACACTAGCGTCAATTCGAGCAATCGCCCAACAACCATGTCTATACCTAATTCAGCGCATCCATTTCCTGAATCAGGCCGTCAAGTTCCCAGTGTCCCCATAAACCACCCACCAGCGTTTCCTTCTGGACATCCCATCATGATACTCGAACCGAAAACTTGTCTCGGACATGAAATAACCAATAAAGCTGAACCTTAACGCCTATGCTTCAAACCAAGAACCGAGCCCTGAACACACCGAGAGCCTTAACCTATAAGCAATCCCTGACCGTAACAAAATGAACACTTTTTCGGGCCGAGCATAACTTTTGCAGTACGCTATCGCCTCTCTATTTCCCTCTTTTCCCTGTGTCTCTCTGTCATCCTTTCTTAATACTCAAGAGCTTCCGCTCGCTGCCCCAGCACTTGACGAGCCGGTATCGTTCAGCCTGACAATAACCCGTTGGTTGCAGATGTCAATGAACTGTTCAAACTTTTCAATAATCTTGTTCTTTTCGTTGAGTGTCGCCTTGAGTTCGTCAATTTCTTTTTGACTTTCTGCCTTGACCTTCTCGAGCTCCTCTCTTGCCTTGGCAATCTCCCGGCGCAGATCCGCACGGATGCGCTCCTCGGCTGACGGTTGTGGCTTGCTGTAAATCGCGGGCCGGTTCTCGGCCAAGCCAGTTGCCACCTTCTGCGGGTTACGGTTGATGGCTGCACGGGCGTTATAGATATCGCGCGGAAGAAGAGGAACATGGGGGTGATCTTGCTGGAGGATCTCGAGCGTCTCGGTAACACCGACACCTGTAAAATCGTCAGCTAACGAGAACTTGATCGGCAGATGCGAACGAGATATGACATACCATTTTCCTTCAGCTGCTTAACTGCAGCAACCATCTTGCTGTCCAGCTTCCGCGCAGCGGGGTGTAACAAAGGACTTTCGCTGGGGCCGTGGTTGTGCTGAAGGTGGATGGCATCGGGGCGGTATCTGATAGTCCACTGCGTGCGTTGCTCAATGGCAAAGAAGCCGAATGGGCAGTCGCACTTGCGGGACGTCGTCTTGCGCTTCCGCATCTCGGGACTCACCCGCTTAGGCGGCTTCCCGGCACGGTCACACACAAACAAGACCTTCTTGAGACCCGGAACCGTCTTTTTCGATCGGCCAATGACCACGGCATAGCCTACCGAAGTGCAGTATTCCAATACATGCTTATGAATGGCGTCCAGGGTTTCAAAGCTTCCCCCCTGCGGAGGTGCTGACATCATCAAACCACGTGGTTGTCGTGGAACAAAAGGCGTTCCGTCATTCATCCTCGAGCTGCTCGCATCATCATCTCCGGACTCGCCCTGGTGTCCACCAATCTCCATGTCGTCATCATGACTGGTATCCTGAGCAGCATCCGCGGGCTCCGGGTGAGGAGGGGTTGGTTGCTGTTGTACATGCTGCACTTGTTGCACCTTTTGTACCTGCTGCGCCTGGGAAATCTGCGGCTGAACTGGAGGCAACGTTGCTTGTGATGGCGGGTGTGGTGTTGACTGCTGGGACAAGATGGAGTTGTCATTCTGAACGGACTGGTTGAGCGACTGCTGGTTAAGCGACTGTTGAGCGAGAGATTGCTGGGCAAGAGACTGCTGTGTAAGGGCCTGGCTCAACGGCGCTTGGCTCATGGGCGATGGCGTCAGAGACTGCTGGCCGAGGGATTGCTGACCGAGCGACTGGCTCATGGGCTGCTGGCTTAGCTGCTGGGCAGTCAAGGGCTGTTGAGGTATGGGCTGTTGGTTCAACGATTGTTGAAGATAGCTCGGCAGGGTGCTGGCTTGTTGCTGCATTTGTCGAGGAGCAGGGGCTCGTTGGCGCGGCATCGCTGGCGGCATCTGTGTCTGGGGTTGTCGTGCGGCATTTTGAACGGTCGATACGCTGGGAATCGGGGGAGTCGTAGTCGTGTAGAGGTGGTGCGAGTACTGGCTCTGCGGTGTCTGCTGGGCATGTTGCGTGTGTTGGGACGCGTAGGCCTGGGACTGGTATGGCGACGCGTGTTGTTGCGATAGCGATGGCGACGGCTTGTTGGAGGATGCCGGGTTGACGTTGTGCGGTTGGTACTGTCGACGGAGCTGGCCGCCAATGTTGCCAAAGCCCAGACCGGGATGCCCGCTCCCGGAGGACATGGTCAAAGAACTGACGACTGGATGCTTTTGAAAATGACGTTGGCCCTTGGTTTCCGGAACTGGATGGAAAGTCGAGCTGAGGCTGGCCTGTCGGGAACGGGCCGGGCTGTTGAAACCAGATCGGAGCCGGGGGCGGGCGTGTAGCGAACGGATGGGTGTGTGACTGAGGAAAGTTGGTGTAGCAGCCAAAGGTGTGTGGAATTATATGGAGGTAGGGATGTGCGGATGGGCGACTGAGAGGTGGTGTCAATTAAGGAAAAGCCGGGGAAGAGGGGAGGGTGAAAGGATGGGGCAACTAGGCTTTGAATTGCAGGAGTGCCCTGAGCCCGCCTTGGTCTGTGCGTACTCGACAAGGAGCCGTACAGTGTGTATGATAGGTGGTTAGATATGTACTCTACATCCCAAGCCTGCGTGATACTTCAATACTATCGTAGATAGTTTTCCGAAGTTTGGTTCGGTGAACTTTGGCAATGCAAGTCCTGGAAAATCGCTGGAACTATTTCCCGGTTGGATATTGTATTTGGAAGACTGAGAAGTGGAAGGTTCAGGCTGCTGTTTGCTAAAGCTCTCTCTACCCTGGTTTTTTGTGGATTGGTACCGATTACATGATCCTCTACAACGCCACATTTCTCCCCTGTTCAAGGCCGGGAGGAGTTCCCCGCTAACAGGATTGGACTGTGTTCTTATGCCCGGCTGGATTTGAAAATCATGCCCGCTTCACCCAGCAGACGGGACGATGGTGAGTTCCAAACACTGAGAATGCGATTCACCTACGCTGATCGTCTTTCGTATACCAGCCAAAGCAGTTCTCATCTTGACTGAGCTTGCCTCGATTCCGAGCCGCCTCAAAAGAGCTGGAAAACCAGGAAGAGGTTGTTTATTTGGAAGGGACCATACTCATAGTACACAGCCTGACGGTTGCGGACAATGGATGCGATGATCATCCCGCCGTACCCACTCCCCCGTCTTGACGTTTCCTTCACTCCCTGGCGTAGATAACGTTAACTTCGTCACATGCCCCTCCCCTCTTCTCTCGAACAAATTGAACATCAGCAACAAATACCATCGTTCCCCCAACGGCCGCGAGCTACTCTTTGCTTCAAAAGTTACTGACTACAGTGTATAGAAATTGCGTTCAATTCCCTTGCATCGAAGCCATTTTGATATTGAATAGTCAGCATTCCTCGGCTGCACGATTGACGTTGGTCCATTGTTGTCAGGTACCATGTCGTTCGTGTTCAAAGTGCACTCGAAACAAGTTTGGGAGATCACGCCTGGACCAACGAATGTCTCTCACTTTTAACAGCAAGCCACGATGTTACCGCGTATCTCATTCGCTCGGAGCTAGGTACACCGCAGACCACGTAGAGAGGCAGAGAGGACAATCATGCGCGTTGGCAAGATCTGGGGCGGGAGGTCCCGAATTGGCTGCCTCAACCTGCATCAGAAACCTACATTTGACATAGCATGTTCATCCAAAAACAAACGAGGCCGAATCGATAAGAACGAAGAATTGAGACGAGACCGTTCGGCAAACGAATGACTCTCTTTTACTGTCGACACAGAGGCGAACACGAGGCATACAGGGCTACGACTTCCGGCCTTGGCACGGGCTTGTTGGCTTATACGAAGTGACCAACATTTTCTGCCACACTGAACAATCGCAATTGTCAACCTAAGTACGTCTACTGCTCCAGCCGCAAGCTCTGGCGGAATTCGGCAATGGTCACGGCCTTGTCCCTCAACTCCGACTTGATATCCCCTGCTGTTCCGGGATGAGGAACCCTTTCCAGCGTCCAGAGTTCAGTAACTCCCAAACTATCCAAGTAATCCAGGCCCCTTGTGTAGTTTGTTGCAACCTGTGCAATCCCATGGCTATCATCCGAAAACGTAAACTTGCCCCCCATTTTGATCCATTCCTGTTAACCCACCAAGTTGTTGGTTAGCACCCACCACCATTCAGAGTAAGAGGGGGGGAGAAAGCGAAGAAAAAAGAAAAAAAAATGCAAGCTCACCTCAGCAACCTCCCTCCCCGGATACGGCTCCTTCAGCCCCTTCCTCAAAGCACTAGTATTAACCTCCAACCAAGCCCCCAACCCCTTACACACCTCCAAGTTCCTCTTCATCCTCTCCCAAACCCCATCCCTCCACCCCTTCACCCTCTTATCCGGCTCCTCCGACAACAACCTGATCAGATCAAAGTGTCCCACCACCTTCGGTCTCGTCGCGTTCAACATCTCAAACTGCTCATCGTAGTACCTCTCCCACAGCTTCTCCTCTGAACCCCCACACGCGTTCTGCGCCTGCAGAAACATGGTCTTGTCAAAATCAATTGGAATCCCGGCCGTGTGGTGGATGGATCCGATGAAGTAGTCGACGCATGGAGCGGAAGATAAAAGGGAGCTGATCAGGGGACCGTACTCAGCCCCGCGAATCCATTCGCCTTCGAAGCCGATGAGGATGTGGATCTGCGAGGCATATTTGGCTTGGAGACGCTGTGCTTCGGCGAGGTAAGAAGCGTGGCGGGGGACGAGCTGGGCGAGAGTTGTTTGTCCTTGGTCTGGGTCGAGCTGGAGTTTTGTGAGGTAGTTTCGTTAGTTATGATGAGTTGAGTGGGATTGGGGATATGCGTGTGCGTGTGCGGCTGGCTGTACCTCTTCCGGGTAGAGATCCGAGAGCTGGGTACGGGGCATGTGCTCTGTCAGACCGATGGTTCTGTAGCCGACGCTGATGGCGTGTCTGATCACTTCCTCGAGTTGGTCTTTGGCGTGTCCGGGGCAGAACTGCCCGGAGTGGGAGTGCATCGTGAACGCCATGGTTGAGAATGAGATGTGAAGTGAGGTATGAACTGGGTCGAATTAACTCAGTCTCAACACAGTTGGAAGGATACTTTCCAGTTGATGATACCTATCCAAGCGAATGTATCGGCAATCACTTGCACGACGGAGAAAAACCAGGAAGAGATGTTTCACAAGAGGCGTTGCGTTCTGTTGAAGCTTAGGCTGAGTAGAAGTTCCTCGACACAGAATTGAGGAATTTCAGTTCCGCATGCATCCATCAAACCGTGACTCAACAAGACACACAAATTGCAACAAAAACCGTGCTTGCACCACGCACACGTTTGTAACTAAGTGGCATTCAAAGTCACGCTCTGCGAACTTTCCGAAGAGTAAAAATATAAAAAAAACAGCATAAAACTCAAGATAAGTCCGCTCAGACTGTAGGGGAAGAAAAAAGAGCAAAAAATTGGACGATCCGGATGGGACTCGAACCCACAACCTCAGTCTTATCCTCCCGAATTAGGAGGACCACACGATACCATTTCGCCACCGGACCACCACTAATTGTTATAAGAAATACCAAAATACTTTACCTATAAGCATCTAGCAATATATCAGCAACACAACGCCATTTACACCCTGACGAAACAAAAACAAGACAATGAACTGTGATCCGCCACAATGTGCACGATGATGGAATATCCCAGCTTGAACGGAGCTTACTTGACGTACTTGGGAATTGACTAGAACATGGCCTGATTCTTTACAAAGTCAGGCTTGGTAGATACATCGACCGTTCTCGCTGTGAAAGAATCAGCCACATTGGCGAATCCCAGGATTCTATCAGTAGCTAGGGCGGAATGAGAGGGCTAAATGGCTATAACGCTTTACAATCACAGGGTTTGATTCTACATGGTTTCTCTCATCCTCTATCTTTGACCATACCATTTGATCAACCATGCTCTTCCTCGCGTCAGTAGCGTGGCCCAGAGGTGCGTTAACGAAGTCATTGATGTAGATCTTGTGTTACCTGCCCGGGCCCGTAGCGTGAAACAAGTTCGAGGCACCGATCACTGTAAGATGAGGCTTGCAGAGCACTTGGTAATTGAGTTATCGGTTTCCAAAGAGCAACCATCCATGTCGGGCCCCGAAACCTCGAGCTTCAGACATGTTTAGGTAGTTTAAGCCAACGTATATGGACCATTGGCCTCACTGGTGCGCTTTAGACCCATGTACGTGTTGGCCTGTCAAAATATCAAAACTGGTAAATCTGAAGACGGAGAAGTGATGGTGACCATTTACTTCATTGATGATGTCCAGCAAGTCAGAAATCTGCCAATCGCCATCAAGTGTGTACCGGAACGGCTTCAGATATGACTTTCGATCTTAATCGGACGACGAGGACGGTATGATGGCTATTGTGACTCCAAAGGAGTCGTGATCGCGCAGAGTGATCTGCGTTACAAAGCGAGTGCAAGGACCACAAGACAATGGCGATGACAGCAAATGATGGTAGCTTACGAGGAGTAATTACGAGAAATTTATTTCTAGCGGGTGTGAATAATCAGATGGAACAACCCATCAAGGTCCCTCGCCCAGTTATCGTTCGTACCTGTGCCTTACAGCAGTGGGGTCTGTGTAAAGAGCCGGCTCTTCGTCCCTTCCCTTCTTCTTCTCTCTCCCACTTCCCCCAACAATCTCGCAAAACATCCAAAGATTACAATCCCGCGACTGCAATTCCCATCATTAGGGCCCCTGCCATGTTAGGCCACGTTAGTACGTTGGTTGAACATCACCCGCCAGAGAATAACGAGTCGTTGCTGGCACCGTTCGCCCATGAGTCACTATCATCAATACCGTAATACCTCCAAAGCCTTTTTCAGGCCTTCAATCTCCGTTTCCAGCCTCTGTCTCGCCGTTGTCGTAGTAGCATCCTCGCCGGCGATGCTATTAAGTTGACGATCGTTTAGCTTGGCTACCCAATTCGCCGTGAATATCTTGACAGGACTTTGATCGCCGTCGAGGAGGAAATGATTGATTGCCTGCTGGCAAATGTTATCAACGAACCTCTTCCGGGCGACCTTATAGTAGCTTTTGAGTATGTCATGGATGTCCTCCTTGACCTGCTCAGCATTGGATTTGTTTTCCACCGCGCTCGTCATCAAAGCCTGCACCTTGGAGAGATCGACCTTCGTATTTGGACCATTCGCGTCCAATCCCTGGAGAATGGACCTTTGGCGGCCCAGCCTAGCTCTCTGGAGGTTGTCGTTGAAATAATGGTTGTAGGTTACCGGACGACCGTTAAGCTCCGTGTTGATGACGAACTTGGCGTGGTCGCATGCCCGTCGATAACCCTTCAGCAGATCATCTTGGAGAGATGACCATAACTCCTCGCGCATTCTCTGATCCGCTACTAGAACCTCCAGAAGCGTGTATAGGAACCGATGGATAACCAAGACAGCCCCCTTGACATGACGAGTTGCGGCTTCATCCCAGCTCGTCGCTTGGGCTTGAAATGCCATTGTCAACACCGACCCGCCAAACTGAACCGGTGTCAGTGTTTTTGCTTGTTGAATGAGTGCTGCACAGAAGATAAACTCACCGATCCCAGTTCTGGTCCACGACTTGCCGAGTAACACTCTCCAATGAAGGCCATGATGTCGTTTTGTGGGTTCTTGAAAGAAACAATGTTGGGATGACGATACTCCAATAATTCTGGAAAAGTTGATGCCCAGTCGAAAGCCTCGTTTATCAGTTTGATGTAGGCAGCTTCGGCGCCATTGTCCTTCTCCGTCGTCTTCCCTTTGAAGTTCCAGGTCTGACCTTTCTTCCAGATTGCGTTAGAAAATCCTTCGTTGAGCTCAATGATCTTGGTGATGAGCTTCAGCGGAGGCTTCTCTCCAAATAGGACATCCCTGCCATATAGGCCCTCGAGAGCATCGTTTACCAACCTCTCGAACCTCAGCGCCAACTTGATCAAATGCTCCCGTTGAGCTGCTGGAGTTGACCTGGGCGGCCCATAGGAGATGCTTCTCTTCTCACAATCAGCCAGACGCTTTATGACTTCAGCTTTTTGCTTCGGTAACTCGCGCTTGGCGAGCCCTGTAAGGAGGGACTGCAGCTCTTTCCTCAAGGTATCAACTCCAACACGCCCGGTGCTCGCAATATCCTTCCATTGTGGATCCTCAAAAAGTTCGACTTCTTTCCTGTTGCATTGGGATATATCCAGATCGTCTTCGTCGGCACCCCGGTTCCGCACAACGAAGTAACCAAGCTTGAGAGTTGTGCCCATCACCAAGTTGGAAAGCGACTGAAGGACGGCCTTTTCTTTTACCAGATCGGCTTTGGTAAGAACTCCAACGGTTCTCTCACCTTTGGGGTCGGCTACTTTGGCAAACTGAAGGATTCCTTCGGTTGCTGGATCCGAAAGACAGGACAATACAGCCAAGACGCTAAAACGTTCAGCATGTTACTGAGGGATGACCAAAGGACTCGCAGTCTCTCAAAAACTTACATGGTTCTCTCGTTCTTCATATGTCTCTTCACCATCGCCTCAACCATCGACTTATCTTGATTAGTAGCATAACCTACTGAATTGTACTGTCAGCTCGCAGTCTCGGCGTCAACAGAAGAATGTATACTTACACTGGTCTGTTACCTGGAAAAGCCCAGGCACATCAATAACAGTCAGATGAGGATTCTGTACATTCCAATTGTCAGCCGGCTATTCTATCCTCCTGGCGATGAACTGCCAGCTGTACCACTCACGTCAGGGCTCGAAATCTCAATCTTGAGAATATCATCGCTGAACATGGGGAGACTGAGAATGTCCTTGTTGATCCCTGATCTAATTTCCATCACCATGTTGGCCTACAAAGCCCTCAGTTAGCAGGTCTCTTCATCCTCATGTCAAGGATCATTATGCACACCTTTTCAATGACACCAGCCACATCCTCCGGGCGAAAATCAGTGAGCTCATGCCGGAACGCTCTCAACGTTTCTCTTAGCTTCTGGTCCGCATTGCTTCTGGGTATGATCGAGATGACAGTCTTCTTGGTCGGGTGGCGGCGCAGTGTGATTTGCGTCGCGAACCGTGTACAGCAACCCTGGCCTCGAGGCAGCGAGAAACCTGTCAAGCTCTCGAGGAGGGAGCTTTTGCCGGATGATTGCCCACCTACAACGATGATCTAATCCAAGGTTAAGCGAGAACAAACCGTATGATCGGGTCACAAAAGTGTGTCGGCTGACATTACCTGTGACGTTTGGAGGTTAATTCCCAGATCGCGCAGCTTGTCTTGCTTCTCGAGGTAGATATGGTTTCCGAGGCTGTCTAGATTAGCGAAACTGGAGTCTGGCGATTGGCTCCCGGGGGTAGTTGCCGTGTCGTGCATCGTAACGAAGGAAGCCTTTATTTTCCATTTTGTCAGCACCAAGCAGTGGTGGATTACATCGACACAAACAAAAGGAAAACTTACCAAGCGGCGTGATTGTCTGTGAGAGGACCGTGAAACAAAATGCCACGAGACAACACACTTCCTTGAAACCAGTAGGCTCGAGATAAAAGGCAGAGAACGAATTGGCCGCAGCATTACAACTGCGACTAAGATACCTAGGGGAAGGCAAAATTGGGAGAAAAGCCCCTTGTGGAATCGCGAGTCTAGAGGTATTCAGCTAGAGGTACTCAACGGAGGAAGGATAGGAGCTCTGATGAAGGAAGATTAGAACAGGCACCATCAACGTATGGGATAACTCATTGCTCTTAATATCCACAAAGCTGAAGAATCCACCGAGCAGCCAACGACATCAACACGACACACTCAAACAAGAGTCATCATTCACAGCGCTATCACTATCCCTTCACGTTTGAACCATCAAAGTACCCGCAAGTCCAAACGGACTTTGCCCGTTGGGCTGCCACCTACGCAAACGCCATAATATGTGTGCAAATATCCGACTTACCAGATACATTCCGCCGCTCAAAGAGCGGTATTCATTGACTAGGGCATGATACCAAACGAGGAGGACTGATTCCGCCAGTTACGTGCGTGACACTGGAACGACAGAAAACGAATATGAATTAGGCAGACTATCCTTTTCAACGTGAACTTGGAACACTATCAAAGAACAGTATATACCTCTACATAGATGTTTGACCGTTTAAAAAGTAGCATCACAAAAATTCTGTTTAACGTGTAAACAGGGTGATGACTGGCCCGCTCCCGTGGAACGGCAGGATTTCCGCCGCTTTTGTTTTCACTCTTCACAAGCTCAAAATTTTGCATAGGAAATGGATGGAGGCTGTCATGTTGTAAGTAGCTCCAACAATGCGAGTGTAAACCTGAAAGACTTCGACTCTTAGAGGACGAGGAGCAAAAGGCGCATGGAACAAACGGGAACGCGGACGGGGCCGAGAAACGGGAGCTGCCACCGCCGTCCACATACGTCGTTCATCGATCGCGTTCATCTGCGTCCAGGCTTCTACAATCGGACTTATTGATATATCAATGAGCTCTCTATCTACCTCCTTGAGTACATGGGTAGTTTGACCATGCAGTATTGCGCGCGACAGTACAGTAGGCCTCACGCTTGGGTGGAACATGAAGCCGGTAGCCATCCATCATGAGGGCCGCAGCGCGTTGAGCCGAGCCGAAACTGCCCGTGACTTGCGGTAATTGGCACTATACAAATGGAGAATACATTGTACAGTACCTAGAGTACCTGGGAGGTTGAAGCCAAACGCAGCCTTTACAGCGTCGTTGGATTGCATTCGAGTACTAACTGAATTACTAAGGGCTGTTAGAACCCGCCCCCATTTTCGGGACGACCTGACAGGCACAGACAAGTGACTTGGATACCTCTTCTATAACGAGTCCTCCGAAAACCGAGCGGCCAACTTACCGCTCCCCGCTGCAGACACTCAACAAATTCAGCTTCGTTTCTGACTGAAAGGCCAATACAACAGTTTTGTGCAGAAATTTGAGGCTGTCTTGACAACCGCATGAAATACTTTTATGTCAGATATTAGCGTTGAAAGGTAAACAGTATCTGATGAGATGTGAGATTATTGGTACTTCTAGATTGTGTCGCAGCTGCCCCGTTGGCGCATACGTACAGAGACGCTGCAAAAACTTAAGAAGGGGAGGACGATCGAGATATTGTGAGAGTGACTCGAGTATCAAGGATCAAGGAAGGGACCACGAGCGCTTCAATTAGAGGGCTGATTACGCGTCGTTTACTCTACATGGTTGAGGGAGCTCGATCTTCGTTATGTTCCGCAGCAGTGAAGGTCAAATGCGCATCGCTGCAGAGCGAGTAACTCTTCTTTCAGCTAATGCAACTAGTGTTCGGGGCGGCACGCCGCGCCCTTCCGTATGGGTGCAAGGCTGGATTCTGGGTTGTTACGTGCAGAGCTGGATTCGGGGAGGCATATCGAACGTTTTGCTGTTGATGTTGTTGATTAATGATTACACGAAAAGTCCACGAAAGCGCGAAAAACGGCTGTACGGGAATGCACTAACAGAAAAAGCGCGAAATTCAGATAGTGCTAACAATTCTTTTGCGGGCGAAAAGGGGGTTTTCGGTCTTGGCGCTATGATTTGGGTAGTGCGAGGAGGATTTTCCGTGGAGACCGCCCGCGAAAAGCACTAACACCCTACCCTTGCAGTCCAGAAACCTTGCTCGTGTAGGTATATAGAGATTTGATACCACACATTAGGGGAAAAAAAAAAGAATTCGGACCGGACTTGGAGAACGAGGAAGGAGCGCCTATGGAACAAAGAAATGAGAAATCAAAGGTATAAGAGGACGGGAAACAAAAAAAGAAAAAAGGAAGTGAAAACTAGAGTGGTAAAGGAAAGGAGCAAAAAAAAAAAGGAAAAAA